CGGACAGGTCGGTCAGGCCGAGTCTCTAGAGTGCGCCGGCCGTGGAGACCGTAAGGCGTAGACATAGGTCATGCCGGGCGTTCGTCGTCTGCCGATGGGTTCCACCATCCACCTCATCAGGTGCGCTGCCTACCTCCAGGTCTCTGGGTGACGCGCTCTAGGGCGGTGGCTTGCAGAGTTCGCTCCGACAGGCGGGGGGGGGGGGGGGGGGGGGCGAGGACGCAGAGGCACCGGAGGCGACGTCTTCCTACTGGACCTAAGGCGTGTTGCCTAAGGCGTGTGAGCAGCAGTGAGAAGCTGCGAGCGGTGGGCCGGGCCGCTCCATCGTGGGCGAGACGCCAGCGAGCGTCGTCTAAATAGTGAGCCGTTACCTGGAGGTCAGGGAACGAGTCGTCGTCCAGCTTTGGTACACCGGATGCCGGCTCAGCAGCCGCGTCGGTGCCAAGCTGATAACAAATTGAGCTGATATGCTTAAAATAGGTCATGAAGGTGGCTACATTGTATGCTTTAAATGCGTTAAATAACTTTAATTTAACCCTAACGATGACACACGCAGACGTGTCAACTATAATGTCAATGCGCTGGGTAAGAATGGGGGGGGGGGCGCAAAGGGGGTAGGGCCTACCCATGTGCGAGCCAAGAATGAGCTGGGCTGACATGAGCGCCAGCGGATATGTAGGCTCAGAGTTAGTGTGGTTGGGCGCCGAACGCATGGAGTGGGTGTGGCTTGCTTAAGAAGGAAGAGGCCTTCCTGGTCCGATACCCAGCGGGCCCTTGCCAGTGTCATGCGCCGTCCGATACCCAGCGGGCCCTTGCCAGTGTAATGCGCCGTCCGATATCCAGCGGGCCCTTGCCAGTGTAATGCGCCGTCCGATATCCAGCGGGCCCTTGCCAGTGTAATGCGCCGTTCGATATCCAGCGGGCCCTTGCCAGTGTCATGCGCTGGTTGTGCGGGATCCCCGTCAATTTGAGAGCACCATGGAACTCAGGATGTTTAACATTTCTCAATGCATTTGGCCATTTAAATACTGCCGCCAACCAAACGATGGAGGTGGGGTGCCATAGCTAAAGGCGGGCAGCCCTGTGCGGCGAGACAGCTGTTCGTGGTGCCTGACCGGACCATTCATCCATCAATGTCCCGGCCACCCGCGTCACCTCAGCCCTGTGGCTCACACGTGTGTATTGATGTCGGCTGTACCGGAGCCCATAACGTGCCGGGTCGTGCGCTGTCATCATCAGGCCCGTATGCTGACCAATGGGCTATTGATGATAAATTTGCTCTTGCGAGGAGGCATGACGGCGGCAGCTGGCGGCGCACAGCCAACGGCAGTCGGCAGCTGCGCAGCGCACGCACCCCACCGCAGAAACCACCACTTGTACACACACACACACACACTTATAGGAATGTTTGCTAAAAGTCTGAGCATATTTGTGCCCGTATCCGGTAAAAGCCTGGATCTTATGGTCTCCTGACATTAATAGCTGTTCATACAACGTTGTAAAATGATTGAATTCACCCAATATTCATAGACAGCGTGTAAAAAATTGACGGTAGTGGAAGCTCAGTGGGCACCATGCAAAGTTCAGATAGTGTTTGAAGGCTGCTCGCACCAAAGCCACGCTGATGTTCACCGAAGATCGATGAAAAATTTTGAAATAATTGAACTCAATCCAGTTTAATCGAATTCTAGCGTCGTGAAGCACACCTTTCAGTGCGGTGCTCCGCGCGAATAATTCGATCAATGAGGCAGAAATTCAGCCAAGCTTTAATTTGAAATAGCAATGAGAGGCCGGTCAGGCCCGCCGCCCTTTGCCACGCAGTGAATGAATTGAGATAAAAAGCTTACGTTATTTGGCGTGCATCGAAACTATCTCGCACGCTGGCAACGTCGATCACAAATCATGGTAGTTGCCTGACACGCACTATTGTGACACGTTTTCTCTCTAGTCTGTGCGGCACGTTTCCACGTCACGTTCGTGACCAGTTAATTCAAGATGTCGTTTTGGGAAGGAAAACGCCACGGGTCGATCCAGTGGCTTTACGAATTGGTCGGTTTTGGTTGGTTACGAGGCTTACGACTGTCTTCCATGCAAAGTGGAGCGAATCACTGCGTTGATGAAGCATGTTTCTGAATAAAAAAGGATAAACGTGCTGCGAAATATTGTGCGCACTATTTTGTCCCATTCGCTGTGTGTTTTAAGACTTTTGGAAATGTTAGAAGTTTTCAGTGTCTGAGCCTCTTTGAGCGCACGGCATACGTGCAATATCTCGTTATATGATGCGTCATTGTTCACAAAGCATTTTTCATGACTTTTGCAGGGCAAACAAGGGTGATATGGGTCGTAAAGGGCTTCCAAAAGATGTTGACTAATGACTGTGATTTGGGCTCCGGTTGTTAATGGCGGGGTAGCTTTTTCGTGCTTTATTCTGGTGAGGGCCGAAATAAAATCTCTCCGTAGTACTGCGCCTGTAGGAACTGTAGGTGTAGGTATGATGATAACCACGGCATGAATGAGAGCGTAGGCGTTCTCTTCGGCCGATTGGCCATGATCACACACATACCGTCATCAAACCGTGTCCAACATCAATGGCGAAGCGCACCAGAGCGACAGAGATATTGGGCAGATATCGCGGCCACCCGACGGGCAATTTGATACATCTGATCGGCACATCTTGTCTGAGCGGTCCAATATTAGCCGGCCGGACGTCTAAACTTGTCCGAGGCGCGCCGCCGTCGGGTGGGCGGTCCTTTCAGGGCCGGCACCTGACCCGGTCACGCACGGCGGCGCCCTGTCCGCCTGCTGTCCCGAGTCCGCCCCAAACCTGGCAGCCGCTCTGGCCTCAGAACACACCACCTCTGCATGAATGGGGATTCGGGACAAGCAGCAAGCGAGGGTGAGCTGCTGTGCCGCGGTTAGGAATCTGATAATAGGTGCTGCGCTGTTGGCAGCCAGAGTTTTTTTAGTAACTGGGGTTGTGATCTCCCTGCTGCATTTATATTTTCGAATTTTCGAGATTTTCGAATGCCGCTCGATGGGTTATGCATTTTTGAAAGGCTATGCAAACGATGCAAGCAGTGTATGTGAAAGTCAACTTAAGTTTCTTGTACATTGTTAGTGTTTTCACCGTTACAAAGCCCACTGTGATACCACAAATTTTTCTTTCTTTTTTCCTTCTTCGACTACCAGGCTTCATAACTTTTAAAATATCAACAAAAACCTACACACACAGCTATGTCATGGTCATTCCCAGGCAAATCATGAATCACCCAATTAGTCCGTGTCTGACGATATTTGGTTCCCCCTGAAATCAGATTAAATCGTTCTCACATGTCATCATTACATTATTCTGTTCTCTACCTCCCTAGCAAGAATATTGGCTCTCTGGCTTATGTTAATTTTCTATAAACCATGAGAATAAAGTTGTTTTCTAACCACACTATATCATGTTGCAGATACTTGCTTCACGCTTAAGAGCACGTGAGAAATCCAACGCACATTTTTGAGCAATCTTATCGCCCGAAAGGCTTTACACATATTGAAAACGTGGGAGGAAATATGCTGTGAACTTTTTCAATAAAACCTCTTTCCTAGGGATGTGCCTTGTACATATACGCCCATTGAGATTGGAAAACTCTGCACATTTCCCCTATCGACAACAAAATGTAATTTTGAACCGAATGCGGTCGTGGAAGGACCTCTTCTTGAGCGCGTCTGATTCTGTGCGCGTCGCAGACCTCATCACAGCCATACAAAGGCGTCGATAGTGTCATCCATTTACTGGCAGCACGCAAATGCCCTTTCCCGTGGCCAAAGCCTGGCAGATCGGCACATCTACGACGCGGCAGGTGTTATCAATGGGTGTCGATTTGGCCTCATCAACCACAATGAACAATGGTTACAGGAAAGTGGTGGGCACCTCATCTGTCTCCATGAATATGCGATAGAGTTTCGACTGGCGTCAGCCTCGCATAAAGCTCCGCACCGCGAACAAGATGTATCGTCGGACATGCAGTATTTAAGAAAATTTACTCGTGAGCTGGCAGAAATCCCCAACAATATGCTCCGTATGTGATTTGGGGGAGATTGAGTAGAAAAATTGATATATTTCACAAGTCACAAGAGTGAAGTCGAGTGTGTGCATGTTTGTTTGTGTGTGTGTGTGTGTGTGTGTGTGTGTGTGTGTGTGTGTGTGTGTGTGTGTGTGTGTGTGTGTGTGTGTGTGTGTGTGTGTGTGTGTGTGTGTGTGTGTGTGTGTGTGTGTGTGTGTGTGTGTGTGTCTGTGTGCTGCACTCTCAACTCGTGTGAACGATTCATCATCTATTTACTGCCACACTTGGTTTCCTTCGGTTGGCTGAATAACAAACGTAATTTTTCTTGCCGTTGAAACCTCTCTTTCCGAGCAGCCTTCTCGCTGCTTTGTCGTAAATATGGTTGCGCCAATGCATCAAGCGTCTCTTCAAAACGACAATATCTTCAAGCAACAAAATATCCGAGCTTGTTTTCCTTTGGCCTCGCCGCAATTCCTCTCGAAACGGCCTGGTCAATAAACGGAACCGCTCAGGTGTGGAACTCGATCGAGGCGCACGCGGCTGAGTTTGTTTAATATCTTCGCCGTCTCCGCCCCGCGACGGCAGGTCGGGTCACCAACAGATGGTAAACACGGGCACACCCGAACGCCCTCCGAAGCGGTGGTGAGATCGAAGCGTTGCGCAGGGGTGCCCGAGTGCCGGAGCCTGACGTGACGTGTGCGAACCATGCCGCCGTGTGTGCCCATGAGTCTACTGCTGGTGCTGGCGGCGGCTGGCGCGACGGTCAGCTGGCAGGAGCGGGTACCGCGCGGCCTCCGAACCCGGCCGCACACGCGCCACGGTCATGGGCCGCGCGCCGCGCTTGACCGCCGGCCGCCCAAGTTCGTGGCCGAGCTGGACGGCGACGTGGTGCTCGGCGGCCTGATGATGGTGCACGAGCGCGGCGAGGCGCACACGTGCGGCCCCATCATGCCGCAGGGCGGCGTCCAGGCGCTGGAGGCCATGATGTACACGCTGCAGCACGTGAACGCGCCGCCCGGCCTCGTGCCCGGCGTCACCATCGGTGCCCACATTCTCGACGACTGCGACAAGGACACCTACGGCCTGGAGCAGGCCGTCGACTTTATCAAAGGTGAGCTGGGCGTGCCGCCGCCGGCGGGTCCACCGCAACGGTCTGGCACGAGGCGGGACTGAGGAGCAGGTGCAGGCACGAGGATGCTGTGCAGAGCTTCACTGGCTGAACTCCGCGTCGGTAAGGAGGCTGGCATGGCGTGAAGTGACCGCCATGGAGGGAGGGGAGGTGGGACCGCCTGTCTGTCTGTCTGTCTCCAGACGCGGGCTCAGATGCGACCGGAGATGGCTTGAGTTTGGGCTGGCTCGGTCGGGACCGGCACAGAGTGACAGCCGTCCCGATCGCGTGCCTCGCAGCACTGCTTCGGACGCGCCACGGCCGGCTGTGATACGCCGCCTGGAGTGATTTGCGCTGGCGGGATAGCACATAATGGACTGGCTTTTAGCGTACACGTGGGCCAGAGTTGCATTGAGCAGCTTGGTCGTGGCTGCTCTCGTCAAGAATGGTTGCTGGGAGCGAATTTTTTCCGTTCGGAACATTAAGGCAGGAGAATGAAACATTGAAATCGCCGACGTGGGCCGTGTATCGGACGAAAAACATCCAGAGTGCTTTTAGGAAATGAAGTCAATCTCATCATTGATTTCATCATCAAACTGTTGGCGCTGTCACGCTGTCTAACCGCTTTCATCATCCAACAACAGCTGTCTGGTACGTATGCCGATTACCGGAATTACTACGACCATGTTGCTTAAATACGAGGGCTTTGGTAGCAGACACAACGACCATGCTTCTTTCTGCGGTGCTTCAACTTCCGAGCACAGATCAGATGGACAGGGACAACACAACCCATCGTCGCTGCTAGCGTGTTTGGAAAGTTTAGATAGCCACAGACAGTCTGCAAATATACTGCAAAGTTATAAGGACAACACTTAAACTGGCAAGAGGACGGGAAAAGCTTTAAATCAGTGGATACTTGCACCCCCTTTTTTGCATGTGCAAATGGTAAGACAGAGTGTGAACACTCCCTGGATATATGGCTAATAGTTTCGGCAAGAGAAAACTGACTATAATTTCTTCTCGTTTTAACTTTTGACTTCCGTTTGATAGAAGCCGCGTAAGCAGATATGTCCTTCTAACCCGTTTTGAACGAAAAGCTCGGTCAATGCAATTTTTTCTCTCGAGCTCGTTACTTTCACCATAATGTGAAATGCCCGCCGTTCTTGCAGCTTGTTTGCATTAATTACCGGTTCCAAATTGACCTGGTTTAACGGCTTTAGTTGCCCATGCAATGCACGATTGCTGCCTTTGGAAAGCCTGATGCTGGTACGAGTTGCAATGGCACGCTTGAATTTTAGTCATAGAGCTCCAGCAACTGAATCGCCGTTGTACCGTGTCCGAAGTGGCGTTAACTGCCGTCAGCCAGAATTGCGTACAAGCTTCTTCCGTTTCGGCGAAACGAACCATGTCAGTGTGCTATGGCCTTTGCACCTTCACCAAGGATGCTTAAACAGATGAAAGCTTATTGTCAACGGCAGCAATTCGACGACGGGCCACGCTGCGCAGTTTATATGGCGCCACTGCCACGTTCATCTTTTTGTGGTAGTTTCACATTTTGTATAAGTGACACCAGGGAACGCTCAGCGAAACACCAGATGCTAGCGCTGATAAAGATCGATGTGGAAAAAATAGATCCAAATGACTCCTGGCACGCTTTTTGGCATTCTCCCCTCGTCGTATCCGTAGTGCTGTCACCGCCCCAATCACTTCAAAATGCTTCTGGTTGTAATCAGCTTGAAACGTACGCTGTTTATGCAAAACGTATGGACGAACATTCCCACTTACGGAGAAGAAATCAAATTGAATGCATGTATTGTGAGGTGGGAGTGTTGGAGTTGCAATCTCAAGTCCTTTTTTGGAAATTTGTGCTCAAAAGCTCAAAAATAACATTTGGAGGACAGGAGTCCAGACGATTTTCTCATGTTGACCCATTGTTTTTGTGCTGTTGCATATTTGTGAGACATGCCACCGGATACTTTTTTCATTCAAACAGATCAGGTATGCCGGAACTGTCACCTATTTTCTGTCTGTACGAAAAGACTGACACCATAACTGCTCGCACCAACATGATCCCACCAAGGCCGTTGATTGGGGCAAAGCCAGACAATAGTGACTTTTTGTCTGGTTATCGTGACATAAAAGAGCTATGGTAATCAGCCTATACATACAAAAACATATGCACCCAGCACAGTCAGTACAGAGTACGATTACCACCGCAAAATTAAGTGTCAGTACACCCAATCACTCGCGGCATGTAACCCTCGTTTGAGAGAGCGATTGAAACATCTTACTTGCAGCCAGAAAACCACATTTTAAGAGTGTGGATCTATGCCAACCATTTCCTGAATTTCCACAATACCTTCTGGTCGAAAACGCCCATAAAATTTGCGTCATTAGGAACTTAGTGCCGACATCATTTTACAAGTCGTTTTGCCGTTTAGAAAGTTTTGCCAAAGCTTGTTTGAGTTTTGAAAAGTTTGGCACCGTAATTCTTCGTAAAAGCGGCTATTGATATACAGTTTAATTGACTGTAATAGCTTTTTAGATCGCAGAAGAAAGCCATTAACCATCTATATGACACTCAAACCATCACAATCACTTTTCTGTGGCTTTATGAGTTTGGAGCTCTCATGATGACAATCCTTAATCCTCATCTTACCAGGTACTAGTAGGCGAAGAGTGAGAGGTAGAGGTGCTGGCTAAGCAACATTATCAAGTAAGCATCTTTGGATACGGAGCACAACATGTACTGTCCAAGCTGAAGATAACAGACTTGTAAATGTAACCAGATGACCTTTAACTTTCTAAATAAGATTTGTGACAGTAAGGCCAATGTTTGCTCAACAATGCTATCAGACTCATACCTCCATTATGTTATTGATCGATTATTGTCAGCACAAGAACTTCAAAGTCATAACACCAAAAACATCAGGAGCATAAGGCTGTTCTTGTAAATATCAGTTCTGAGGATATGCGCTGACAATGAACTTGTTAAAGCTCACGGCAAAATTAATATTGCTTCAGCGTGCGGAATGCAGGGTTTCTTAATGTCATTTGCTGTTATACATGTTTCCACATCGCAAGTACATACCCTGTTACATATTGCCGTGATTTGTTAGTTTGTTGGTCATATGCACACACTTTATCACAACGCGCTTACGTTTTCTCCAAAGCCGGCTATATGTTGTGATCTTTGACCCAGGTGACGTGAAGCTCTTATACAGACCCCCGTTCACACATTCAAACACCATTTCAGCCAATATTTGCATCGGACGTCGTTTTGCTCTTACGATGCTACACACTTATTTTTGATTAAAATGATGCCGCTTCCAATATATATCTAGCTGTGGTGCATGCCTCGCAGCTACGTTTCCACACATTGCACATTTTTTTCTACATAAACATACTCACGCCAGTGCGATTGTCCAATTCTGGTCGCGTACCATGCAAACACCAACGCGACTCTGTAAACAAATTTTGGGCCTCTCCTTAAGCTCGGTGACATTTAATGATCTGCTAATCATCAGGTCACCGAGGGAGTCCACAAATAGCATGCCATGTATTCAAATGGATCTCCACGCTGAAGCTCAAGCTCAAAATGGATAGCAAAAATGTGCTTCAATGCCTTATCCTGCGCCTTTGGCATTGCCTTCATTACATTGATACTCCCCCGGGTAAACGCTTGGGCACTCTTTGCTTGGGTGGGGGTCAGTGTGACCCCTTGAGATCTCAAGAGCTAGGAGAATTGGAGACACTAAATTCACAAGGGATATTGGCTTGTACGTGAGATCACTTAGATCAAAGTTGGAAGCTATTCGGTCATGGCTTTCGGGTCAAATAAGATCAAACAACGTTTAACTCCAGGCTAGTCTTCAAATTGCCCGCAAAACCTAGATACCTGTTCTAAGCAAATGACCACATGCTTATTAAAGTTCGGTGGCCTTGTCTGACCTTAAGAATGTCATGGTGACCAAAATGATAGAAGACTGCTTGGAGTTTGGTGTTTGAATAAGCGACAAAGGTTACGCTAGGCAGTGGGTTTGTAAACAAATGCTGACCGAGGTCATTTAAGGTCAGTGGCCTATTTTGACCTTAAAAAAGTCCATGGAAGGTGTATAATGCGGTTCCTGTTCTCAATTAACTTAAAATAAACATAAGAAACTACCCCATACAGTAAGCTCTAGAGTAAAAAAGCAGGTCAGTCTGGCCTTGGTTTGACCTTCATACCTGACACTAGTTCAATTAAATTTAATATTCAATTGTTGTGTTGCCGAAGAACGTGTCTGAGACATGTGTGGCTTCGTCTGACATTCCGTTGTTGCACCAGATTGAACTCTCCCTGGAAATTGGCTTCGCTGAATACACGGCCTGAATTTGACCTACCGTAGGGCAGCGACCTTACAAGGTATATCTAAATGTTTGATATCAAACGGCTTGCTGTGTATTCTTCTACAGCTATGCAATATTTGTCGTGGCTACGCCGCATTGTTCGGAAACCATTCCGGAAAACCTTTGGGGGGTCAAATTGACCCCCTCCCGAGCGCGTGTTAGCACTAGGTTGTTGTCAAAAAGTGGCGTCCCCTTCATCATGGTCCATGCATTCTACTGAATACTTTTGCTGCTTTAGTTCTTGTTTAGCCCCCACCTGTCGGGTGGAAACCATCTAGCCGGACACGTTTGTTGTGATTTTCAACAGCATATATTTGCAAGTGTAGCTTAGGACAGACACGCTCTAATTCGTTCAAAGTTGTATGGCAGTGGAAATAATTGTTTATGAAATGCATTCGAGTTTTTAAAAAAAACTACTATCGTGAACCTGTCTTGCATGATGGTGGTGTGCATTTGAATATCCATGCAGTCGATATGTGGTCCCAGTCGTTCTCTTCCGTGAGTTCTTGGAACACACCGCAGAGGTAAGACTATTCATTTGAGCAATGCGCTTTTCGCCGCTTAAATCAATAATAGTGAGGCACTTGAGTGGCGAACTAAAAAAAACTTTGTCC